CTTCTGGTGATGTCAGGGGGTGTGGCATATGCAAATGAGTTACGCTAATGAGCTATGCTAATGGGCTCCTGCACCTCTTTTTCTACTAAATGACCCCTGGATAGAAGTGGGAATGGAAGTCCCTAGCTGACAAAGAGAGCTTTGACTCGTGGAAGCTCATACCCCCCGAATCCTGTTGGTCTCTAAGGGGCCACTGAGCTCGAGTCGAGAGACTCTGGTGGAGCTGAAGTGTGCCTGAGCAAAGACCCCACCCTGATGCACAGACCTCTTGCCATGCAAACACGTGGTCACGTCCCTCCCCATGCAAGGGACCCGCGGAACCCCACGCCGCACGCACCCCATTTCACACACACACAAACACGCACTGCACGCCCACAAGGCCCACGCACCCTCCTGGGTCCGGGCGATGGTGCTGCCAAAGGAGCCGAGGCTCTCGCGGCCGAGGAAGTCGCCGAAGACGTTGTGGAAGGGGTCCCCGCCCACTTGCGTGGACTCCTCCACCCGTACCTCGCGCTTGGTCTCGCCGCCGCGCGTCTTGCTGATCTCCGTCCGCTCGGTGCGCGTGTAGGTGTGGCTGCTGCGCGTGAAGGTGCGCGTCAGCCGCTCTTGAGCCGACACCATCTGGAACCAGTTCCCTGCGCCGGGGGGGGAGGGGTAGCGAGGAAGAAGAGGCAGGAGCGAGAGGGGAGGAGATGCAGGTTAGAGATGGGGGGGGAGAGAAAGCTGGGGGCGGGAGAGCGTCCCGTTGAGGGTCAACCAGTTCTGGGGCTGGAAACCGCTCTCTACGGGGAAGAATGCAGACCTCGGCTACAAGGTCACAGGATGTGACCAGCACTGCAGAACTGGGAGGCTTTGTAGAATCCTGAGAATGTTAAAATCAAGTTTCTAGTCCTCGTTGTTACAGCTAGCACCGTAACCTGAAAAGCCAGACAGGATCCAGGCAGGCCCCTTCCAGGACATAGACCTGTGCTCTCCCGATGTCCCCCTAAGCTCCTTCATCCTTTTGGCGATCCCCCTGCCAGTCCCAAATCATAACTTTCGAACTGAGTGAACCCTTCGCTTTCTGCTGAAGGCGATTCCCACTAGCTCTGCCCGAACCCTGCAGCCAAATAAAGCAGAGCGACCGAGCAAATTCGTGGAAATCCGCTCAAATTCTGCTCACAACACTGGGAATTCCTTTTTAGCGTGCCTCCAACGCACACCCCCTGTTTCTCCGGTGCTTCGAGGGCTGTAACCCGTCAGCAGAAAGGAAGTGAACCTGCTTATCACCAGTGGGGAGTACCGGGGGGGGGGGGGGATTTTGGTCTTTCGGTCCCTGTTAGCAACACGGGAGAGATAAGGAGCCCTTTTGAGCCCTGATTTGGAAAACTGCGTACAGTTCTGGTCACCGTATCTCCAAAAGGACATGGCAGAGCTGGGAAAAGTACAGCGGAGGGCGACCGAGATAGTTAGAGGACTGGAGAACCTTCCCTATAGAGGGAAAGGCAGAAGTGTCTGGGACTTTTCATTTTGGAAAAGTGACAACTAAGGGGGGGGACGGGACGCGAGAGAACTTAAAATTATGCCTCCCCACTAGCTGCTCTTTTTACCATGGCCAATAAGAGTGGCCAGATGCTGGCAGCTTGGACCAATGCAATAATTGTTCCCATCTACAAACAGGATTGTCCTCTTAATCCCTCTCATTTTAGACCAATTAAGTCTTTTATCTGTCATTGTGGT